GCACTTAAGTGAGCGGTTTCCAGCCCCTTCAGAAGGATGCATGCAGTCCGGTGATTAAAGTGCCTTGGTTCCGGTTTGCGGGATGGCTGTTCCTGAATAAAGTTCCTTGGTTCATATCCATAAAATGATTGTTCCAGAATATAAGTTCCTTGGTTCCAGAGATTTCTACCATATGAGTGACTGCTGTGGGCGGCATCCATGTTCTTCAATGAAGGCATGGCATTTAAAACACGTGAGCGGCGATTCCTTGTGCAAACGGAGTTAGGCTGGTTTTAAGTGTTTTCAAGAACTTGATTTAAAATTTCAGGTGTTTTTCTCGAACCATTGATTATGGGACGTTATTGACTGTGTAGCCAGCTTCATTTTTAGGCCGCATAATTACTGTTTAGGACATTTTGTTTGTATTGAATGCCAGTGTTTTGGAGACCAGGTAAAAATATTATTTGATGAATGATGGTTATATTATATTTTTCCTAAGACTGATATTGTTGACATTTATTTCTGTGTTTTTTATTCTTTATTATATTGTTAATAAATTGGTTAAGTTCAAAATCTTTTATTGTCTTCAATGTCTGCACAACATATCTCAGGGAGCTTTTATTGCTACTACTGCTGAATGTTTAATTTTTTTCAAACTTTAAACTTTGCTTTAGCATCAATATTCATGCAGATGGTTACTGAGCGCAGCACTCCCACTCCGAGGGGGTTAAAAATACTGTGGACAGCTGAAAGAATATTTCTTCTTGTTACAGGTTCTTTCTTAAAGGAAACATTTTCTAAGTTACCAAAAATATATCTTCATTTTTATCCCACAATAATCCAAGAACAGGAGAATCCTTTTCATTCCCATCCATGCAAGTCAAAGCGAAGTTCCTTAGTACAAGAACTACCCTTTTATGATGATAAATTTTCAGTTTTCTTTTCTCAAAATCTCTCCACCATAAAAATCTCAAATAGTCTTGATCTTCTTTGGCAATAGAAATCTGTAAGAAGGCCTTTCTTCTTATGTCCAAATTGACGCCAGTCGACTTTCCAAAACTTCAATAGTAGTGGAAGAGTTTTCTCTTAAGAGGTTTAGTCCGTTTTCTAGAACATCATAAGTATCCTTTCTGAATTTTCATTTTCTCATACAGACAACTCTTCCTTCAGTATATTCTCAGAATTTTTACAGTTATTGTTGAAATGCAGTATTCAGGCTATTAGTCGCAATATCTGTGAATACTTGTCAAATTGTTTCATTGATTAATGGAGAATGACAGGATCCACAAGAAGCATGGAAAACAGGTCAAGCGCTTTTGGTGGAGTTTTTCTTGAAAACATGTCAATGGGGTAAATAATGGCCATGGAATTGTTATATCATCCTCAGGTGGTACCTCTTTAATAATAATCTCCGCTAACCATTCCTGTAAAACAGTGTCGTAATCTACATATCTGCCTTCCTTAATAAGTTTCTCTGCAGTTGATCCTCACCTGCGCTCTGCAATCAATCTATTTTCCTTCAAAATCTCCTGCTGTTCTAACCAAGGCCATGTACCGACCTTCTTTATCGCTTCTTATTGTTCGCTGTAACTGTTCCATAACTAATTAATGTGTCTCTTCTTTAGATTTTATTTAAACAGTATCTCCAATGCCTAGAGTATCCAAGTTCCATAAATCAGCAATTGATGTATTTTTTATCAGTAAAGATGTGATTAAGTTTGCGGAGGTGCTGACAGGATTCTCATCAAAAATTTTTCTCATAATCAGCCAACCAAAAAACGTTTCATATGTGGTAAGCCACACCTGAGATCATGAGTTTTTCCCCATAAACAAATGACCACAAAAATCAGCTCCAATGAATATCTTGATAACGGGAAAATTCTCTCCATAATCATTAAGCCATATCTTCTTTTCTTTCAACTTTCCCATGATCCTCTTTTCTTTAATCGTGAAATGTTTCTGCAAATAGGAGATTGATCTAGAGCTTCTATCTTACAGGAAAATTTTTGTTTAAGGACTCACTGTCAAGTTCATACTGAAGATGTTCCTTCATTTGTGTCCTCCAAAATGAGTGTGAATCAAAATCCTGTTACAATAGGTTCCATACCCATCTCTTCTACAGTTACCTTCAATATATAAGAATGTTGGGAACCATTTTTGATGAGTACCCGTACTTGTTTTTCTTTATTTCCTGATTTCAATCTAACCTGTAACATTTGTAGTAGAATTTCACCAGAGTAACAATGATTTGATAGATTGTTATCACTTGGTTTTGATTCTTCAGATGTACGAGAATTGTTAATTAATTTTGTTAGTTTTCAGCTCTAGATAGCTTTTTCTCCACAAAGAATGCATTTAATATTTGCCTTGCACAAGTTAATCGATAGCCGGCCTTTAAAAATGTGAAGCAGACCTTCCTTAAATTATCCCTTTTTCTGCTTGAAATGCAGAGTCTGAGCCGTTAAACAATCTTTGCTCTCTTATGCCTGTTCACAAAATACACAAGCTATGTTTTGTTTTCTCTTTGCAAAAACTACACAAAATAAATCTGCAGCTGTTGGTTGATTAAAAGCTTTAGTCGTCTTTTCTTTCTCCTTTCTTGCATATCTATTTAAGAATTCAGTTCTTGCCAAGAGAACTTGCTTCTTTCCCTCTACTTCGGTTTTCATAAACAGGAACAATTTTTTTAGCTTTTCACTGTATGGATTCTCTGCTGACTATCCAGGGTATTCGCCATCGGATATCACAATCACACCCTGAAAATGTCTTCTGGTATGCAAGATTCAATGAGAGGCAAAAGCATGGCAGAATATTTATCTGAAGTTAAACTAATGGATTCCAGGCCTCTGAAGTAGGATTCCAGTTTATCGTACTGTCTAACGGTGTCTAATGTTTGGTATAACTCTAACAATTCTTGCACTTAGAACACAGTAAGTAATTCATGTTGACCAAAACGAGATTTTAGGCATTTTACAACTTTATTATTATTTTCACCCATTGGTGGATAACTGTTAACAATTTCACAAGCTCTCATGTCTTCACACATGCATCTTATTAAATATTGAAACTTATCCTCATTTTCTATATTTTCATCTTCATGAATTCTTTGGAATTGGCTCCAAAAGGCCAGTCAATCTTTAATTTTAGTGGTAAATTTAATGAGTTTGATCTTTGGTAATTTCAGTTTCCCTTTAACTTGAACAGAAGAGGAACAAATTGACTAGTTACACTGATCCTTTAAAATTCTATTTATACAAATGTCTACTTTTAGTGTAACACTATCCATCTCCTCAATGTATTCGTCAGTAATTAATACTCTTGCTCATATTTTTCCGAATCGGAATCTGTAACTAATAAATCACTTATTCCAGAATCAAAACTAGAAAGCTGAGCATACATTCTTTCTAAACTAGCAAAATTTGATCGAATTTTTACCTCATTAGGGTTTTCCTGATTTAATAAATTACTCAAAGTATTAAAGTTTTAGTAAAATTGGATCTAACAGGTGAGTGTCTTGTTAAAAACAATTCTATGTTTAAAAAGTTTAACCTTATTTACCTTCAAAATCCAATAAGATGACTTTCCAGTTCACTATTAATATTATGTTGAATCTACCTGAATATTATTTCATTCATTTGTTCTTGCCTTTAAAATAAATCTGACTCCATTTAATAATGCTTTAAAAAAATAAATAACAGTTAAAATGAACAATACATTTTCTCACTTAAAAAAAAAAAAATTGAAAACCTTTATTCCATACCCCTTTTTACACTTGAGGAAATCAAACATTATTTTTTCTAATCCTTCTTACTGTTGCCATACACACAGAAAAATAAATAAATAAAAAATAACCAATGCCATCTAAATTAAAAGGAAACAATGACCATTGAAGTTTGTGTACAAATATGAAACATTGAAGCTTGTAACACTATGTTTCAATACAGAATTATATGCTGAGAGGGTTGAAGATTTCTCAGTTAAGGAAAAACTAATGAGAAAACCAAAAGAGAAGGACTTATTGTCTTCAACTAAACAGTTTGATACTCAAAATAAATTTATCAAAAACAGATAGCATTTCCAGCTCCTGATTATATTTTAGGTTATCTACAACACATTTGACCAAATTTAAATGAAATCAGACAGCTCTTTAATTCTAAAGAAGTGAAAAACTAACATTTGTATGACTATGACATACAATATTTGTGATTTTCTTGGAATAAATAAAAAGGCTAACAAAAAAGCACAAGGAGCTTGCAGATTAGAGACAAATTTAACAAAAGGCTGTTGTAAGCCTCCTGTAGTTCCCTAGTGAGTAATCTTGGGTTATTAGTAATTGAGTTTGCTGCTGTTAATTTATGAAATGATGAGATTTTTTAAGGAAACTGTATTAGAAATTGGCTGAATATAAAGTTTTTCAAATTGTATTTTTGTTTGTTTTGATGCAGTCTGAGATGCTACAGAATGAAAATTTTAAAGTAATTGGGATATAAATAAATTTTCTTTTATAAATCTTTTCTCATAAAAGAAAAGATAACTTGTTTGATAAGAAATGAAGTGTAAATTAATTAAAAATTTTAAGAGTGTATTCTATGCAATAGCCCTTTGTCTATTACATTGCATCTTTCAGAAAATTCCTAGATCTAATAAGATTATTATCCATTAAAGCTGCCAAGTATCTAAACACTATTGCTTCAGAAATTAAAATTTAATATCCTATATTTTGAAATTATTAACACTATAAAGATTGCTTGCTACATTTGAAATTATTAATACTAAATATTATAGATTTAAGAACTTAAATACTTTTAAGTTGCTAATAATTTAACATGATAAGTTTAAAGGAAAGATTTTGTATTTGCATTTTTATATGCCTTTTTTGGGGGGAGGGATTATTTTATTTGAAAATTTTCATGGCTTATCTTTCTCTTAAAATTGTAAATTGTGTATTTTATACTTTGATTTAAAAGAAAAAATTCTTAACTTTTGGAATCTGTTAGCAATTTTAATTTCTATGTTTTCAGGAAATCACTTTCAGTAAATCTGAAAATGAACCCGTAGGTGCTGAGCTAAGAGGTGGTGTTGGTAGTTGTGGTGCTAATCCCTTTGATTATGATGATGAAGGAATCTTTGTCACAAAGGTGCTTTTTGTGGCTATTTATTATTATATTATAATAATATGATTTGTTAATATTTCTAGTTTATGATAGCTTTGATAGAATTATGTATGATATAATCTTAAAAATGGAAAATTTAGTTTTTTTGTGAATGTAACTGTATATTGTTTTTGCAGATATTGCCTAACTCTCCAGCCCATAAAGATGGAAGACTGAAAGTGGGAATGAGAGTTATTGAGGTAGTATATTATTCAATAAAACTTTGTATTTCACATTGTTTTCAAAAATGTTAGTTTTTTTTATGGGGTTAAAAGTAATATTTTTTCCTATTGCTATATTAAATGAAATATATTTTAATATATAGGTTTGTAGCATTTCTGTTTTGGGAGCTAATATTGAAGAAGCTAATCAAGCACTTAACTCTCATAAAAGCACAGTCTCTTTTACTGTATGCAATGGTTTCAACTGCAGCTTACTTTTGAATACTTCCTACAGTTGTCTTCCTGGGTCAAGCTCTGTTACTATTGATTCTATTCCATGCATTGATAGTGACGATGATTCCTGTGATGTTCTTTCTCCAGTGAGTTACATTTGCTATTTGTAAGAAAGTACAGTCAAAAGTCATTAATTCGGACACCCATAATCTGGACCTCAAAGCTACAAACTTTCTGCGCATGCGTAGTGTTGACGCATGCGCGTAAGACCTTTACGGCTGCAAATACACGCGTGCGCAAAATACGTTTACGAATGCGCGTTTAATGTATAACGGACGGTATAAGCTAAGCTAAAATTATCTAATTCAGTTAATGTTGCAGATTGCGTTGTTCCTTAATCTTCGAATTGGATTCGGCTTATTATTTTTTGCAGACTGTTAGAGCAATTTTATCAAAGTAAGCTTGAACTTTCAATTATGTCAAATAGAATTTCTGATATATATTTACTAATATGTAAAGGATCTACAAAGCAAAAGTATGTTTCGAAGTCCATTAAACAAAAAGTGGAATTGCTGCAAAAAATGGATAAAGGCATATCCTATGTTTATCTTAACTTTGTTTATCTTTAACGCCGCGGCGCACAATGAATTGGAAGTTGTTGTTCTGTCAGCACTATCCTTATCTTCAGGGCAGATATTACTATTTTATTTGGCTTATAATTCCTTACTAAATGTAGTATTTCATCTCGATGTACTCCGTCTTTGATATGATTTAAATCAAATTCCTCGTCATTATAATTCACTTCCGATAGCGAAGAAAGTGACAGAGGTTATTGAAAACAAAAAAATTTCGATTGACAAATTAGTTGGTATTCTCGACACAGCAATTATAGGACTTGAACAGCAGAACTTTGTAACTGAACAAGAAATTATGTCTGTTTATAGAATTAAAGTAGAAACCAGAAGTAGAAACTCTTTTCAACATAATGGAAAACTCAAACATTAATTTTGTTAAGATAGCTATAAAAATAATACTGTGCAAAAAATAATAAGCTGGATCAAATTAGAAGATTAAAGAAAAATGTAATTTGCTGTGTAAACTCAAGTTCCTTGAAATCTTTCTGCAAATTTGGAAGAGAAGATTCAAATACCTGCAGTCATGATTAATTAAGCAAATTTTTCTTTATTCTTGAGAAGCGCAATTATAAACATTTAAAATATTTATTACTTTTCAGTAATTTGCTGTGTAAACTCAAGTTCCTTGAAATCTTTCTGCAAATTTGGAAGAGAAGATTCAAATACCTGCAGTCATGATTAATTAAGCAAATTTTTCTTTATTCTTGAGAAGCGCAATTATAAACATTTAAAATATTTATTACTTTTCAGTAATGCCATTGGTCCTTTATTTTGTGGGGAGAAAAATTGTTCCATTGTCTAAAAATAAAGTGTATATACTTTCTGTTTACAAAGTTACATTTATCAGAAGAGTTTAATTGTTTAGTTCATTCTCTCACTGTTGTGATTATCACATAAAAAACGAAGCAACTTAAACAACTTACATTGAAAGAAATGTTTAATAAAGTAAACAAATAAATAATAAGCTTTTTTTGTAAATTTTGATACCCTTTAGATCATAATTGTTCTTTATTTCATAAATTATGGTTTCATATTTTTAATTTTATAATTTCTGCATGCCATTTTACCAGATTTAAACTGATGATCTATAATCCGGAATCGCCGAAGTCCCGACGAGTCCGGGTTAACGACTTTTGACTGTATATTTATTGACTTGCACAATTTTTTATTCTGATATATTTTAGTATAACTAGCTTTAAATACCTAAAATTAATAGATGAAATCAGTTGATGAATTGAATTTTTATGATCTTGCTTTTATTGATTTTTGGTTATGAAGAAAATATAAAATTTTGATTACATTTGTAATGTATTATTAGTGCATTTCAAGCAGTGTAGGAAAGTGTGTAATCATGATAATGATCATAATAAAGATGGCAGTGTTGAATGCTGAACTGCTGTTCTAAACATGAACATATTCCTGAATATTTGAGCAATGCCTTTTTTATTTTAACTTCAGAGTGGTTGTACCAGAAAATCTTCATAAGCAGTTTGCATGGAAGACAGTCTTCACTTCGATCTTGCCAATATCTTATCCATATTATTTTTATCGTTCAAAATTGTTGTAGGGTAATTTTTGAATGCAATATGTATTAAAGAAAGAAATTTAAAAGAAAATTTAATTAATTTCATAAAATTTCAAGTATAAGTTATGAACATTTGATCAAGAATACATAAGCAAAAAGTTTAAAAATATTCCACTCCCCCCCCTCTTCTGACTGTTCTCTGTGTGTGTGAAGTATGTCATATAGGAGGGAAATTAACAATAACCCAAATAGTTTTTTGCATTTTTAGTACCTTCATGTACTCAGATTTTGTGTAATACAACTGCTTTTGCTAGTTTTGCCTTCTAAGGAAAAACTAATTTCAAATGGAAGTTGGAGATTTCAGAATTTTTCGGAGTTCTTTAAACTTTAATTTTCCAAAATAAATTGTAAACTTGTTTGTATTTCATCCATCATACATCTCTGAATATTCATCATTAGATTTGTATGCAGAATTGATTTTCTTGACAGACTTGCTTTTAAGATCAAAATTTCTGCGAGACTCGAGAGCTACCCTCCATTTTACTAAAAATCTTTTTTTTTTAAGTAATGCTACACAGTTTGTAAACTGCTGGGCATTAGATTGCTATAATTTTTTTCTGTATTTAGCAGAGAGGTTTATCAGCACTTTTATCATCTAGAATTAAGTCATGATTATAAACATTTAAAATATTTATTACTTTTCAGTAATGCCATTGGTCCTTTATTTTGTGGGGAGAAAAATTGTTCCTTTGTCTAAAAATAAAGTGTATATACTTTCTGTTTACAAAGTTACATTTATCAGAAGAGTTTAATTGTTTAGTTCATTCTCTCACTGTTGTGATCTACCTGAGCTAGCTAAAGCATGTAGCATTTTTGAATTGCAGAGCCTTACTCATTCATCGGCATTCAAGTTCTTTGTACATACTTGAATGTTACTCTTCGAAAATGAATTTTTCAACAATAATTAGTCCAGTTTTAAGTTTAAGAAATGGCTTTCCACCTATTTATATTGTAATCGAAAAGTTAAATCACACATTTTTTAGTACAGTATAGAAGCAATAATGTTTCCTGTATCTGCTAGTATTCTGTTCCATACCAGATAACAGTAAATGCTGTTTTAACTGTGATATCCCTTTGACAAAAATAAATATGCTGTAATTAATTGATAAATGTATGGTAAGACTTTGACAGTGCTAAATAGTGTATGTGATATACTGATTGCGTACACTAATTCTGAATAAAATAATACAGAGTGTGTCAGATGCAACAATACAGTCACGTATGAAAATAAGGAATTCTTCCATTTTGACCTAAATCTCAGAAGGCAACAAGACATTTAAAAAATATGATATCTGTATTGTACCATGCAATGTACTACTTTAAGAGGTTATTAAAGTAAAAAGATTCATTTCTCAGCACCTGTGGTTAAAGAAACAAAAAATAATAGTTGAATTAATAGCTGACTGTAGATAGCTGAAATCCTCTGCTGTCATATTTATACTCATCCAGAGAGGCATAGGCTTTAAAAAGTACTATGGGGACCAATTATGGAATTTGTATGTAATGTTTTATTGGTTCTTATTTGTTTGCATATGTTAGAATACAAGTAAAACATTCTTTTATATAAATATTTATGTAATGCATTGAGAAATTTAAGTATCTGACTGATGAATTAAATATATTTTGTTTGTCTATTTTAGTTTTTGTTCATTAGCAAACTTTAAATTAATTGCAATATTTCTTTTAGTCCAACCGAAATATCATATTAGCAGAAGATAAATCTGTTGACGAAAAAGTTTTAGATGTTGTTCGTGCAGCTGAGCGTTTAGTATCTCCTTCACCTCAAGTTTTTATAAGCCCACCATCAGCTCTGAAAAAAAAGAAAACCACTACCATAGTATTATCAAAGCATATCATTCATCCAGCCACTACAGATCAGGTAAGTTTAAAATTTTTGTTAGAGATAATGATACAATACATTGTTAGCTGAACATTTGTTCATAATCAGGACAATTTTTGCATCGCCCTGAATATTTTTGCTTGAGGCATTAACAATCATCAGTTTCAAATGTTGCCAAGCCTAGGCTAGGAAATTATTTTCAAACCAGTCATTCAGTAATGTGCGTGTCATATAGCCTCTTTTATTTGAAACAGTAGGTGAATGGCAGAAAAAAAATTTACTCCTTTAAATACCTGAGCTTTTGTATCTTTTTCTGGTTATGAAAAGTTTACATTTGTGTGTTCCTACAGCATTTACTCGTGCCAAAATCATTAGTCGTGCTTTGGAATGTTTGATACCAGTTGAGGCTTTTTCTATGGATATTTTGAGGCACTTATTGCTGGGGAAAAACAGTTTAATCAGCATTATGAATTTTTTCTGGGGATAATGTTTTGCTACTAATGAGTGATTAATTTGTCTTCAAATTATGCAGGTGCTTCTCTATCAGCTGTAGCTTTTTTCCCTGAAATTTTTAACTGCTTTATACCATGGGGTTGAATATGTGCGCTCAGATATTTTAAATTCATCCTCATGAAATATTTTGCCTTGAGCAATTTAGGATTGGATCTGTCAGTGACACACCTTTGCTGCACAATTATCTCATGTTTTCAGTCCTCACTTTGTCATAACTGCCACATTTAGCCTAATGAATGATTTTCTATTATTTACTGCAAGTAGGTTGTCAGTTTCCTTCTTCCAAAAAGTTTTTAAACAAGTATACTTTTTCTTTATATAAGTAAAGTATATAAGTAGTATTTTATAAAGTATTATAATATACTTTTTCTTTATGTTTATGTCTCATACAGTTGGCATCTAATATGCTTCCTATATAATTTTGAGACAGGTACACTTCTATAAATTTTTTGCAACAATTGCACTCTTGCTTTACTGCCATTGAAAGATGCTGTTGTGCAGATCTTGCTGCAGCTCCAGAAGTAGAAACTCTTTTCAACATAATGGAAAACTCAAACATTAATTTTGTTAAGATAGCTATAAAAATAATACTGTGCAAAAAATAATAAGCTGGATCAAATTAGAAGATTAAAGAAGAATGTAGTTTGCTGTGTAAACTCAAGTTCCTTGAAATCTTTCTGCAAATTTGGAAGAGAAGATTCAAATACCTGCATTCATGATTAATTAAGCAAATTTTTCTTTATTCTTGGGAAGCGCAATTTAAAAATGAATCGTATAACTTAATGGAAGCTATCTGTGCATCCTTCCTGGTTACATTTTCTTCTATTTTGCATCTTATAATAGAATGTATGAAAGAGGTACAACAGCAAATAAGAGCTGAGATACCTAATACCTGAGAAAAAGTTGAGCTGAAAATGAAAAAAAAGTTTCCCACTTGAGTTTTCATCTTGTATATTAATAAAAGGTTTTGGTTCCAACTGAAATCCATGTTTGCTGAAGCATTTATGTAAGTGCATCACTAGCATTATATAAGATTAACATAACATAGATTAATTTGGAAATAGCGAAGCACAGAGTGATTTATTGTAAGCAGTTACTACTTTATATAGAAAGGGGGAATAGCCAGATTAAAATGGAATGTTGGGATTACTGCAAATCAAATTTAGAACTTTGATTTATGTATTTTTTGTTTTACACACACACACACACACACACACACATATGTTATTGAAAGATAGTAGTTCAATCAAATAATGGTGATTGGCAAGCTAACATGGAGAACGCAAATCAAAATTGAAACAAAAACAAGAACTCGATAAAATAACATAAAAATAATACCAAATAGTTAAAAAATTCTTTACAACCTTAATAAATAATCTTAATTCTGAAATTTCTAAACTCCTGTTTATATGTATAAGGAGTATCTAAAACTAGGCTTTAATTAATAACCAAATTGTAAACTAATTCAGTCATTCAAATCATTTATAATTATATGCAATTCTGACATACGTGCACATGCTAAATATTTTGCGTTTGATGGATTTTAGTTACTGTGTATTTTGAACTCTTCTCTGATAAACTTTTAGATTCTTCAACGTTTAAGTGTTGCACTAAATTTGGAACTTCCAAAAATTTTCTTCTAACATTAATATTGCTGCATGTCTATGGTACATGTCATTTATTTCTGCATGTTTAAGTATTGTATATTCTGAGGTATAACGCACACTTTTAATACTAAAAAATAAGATCAAAATTTATGGGTGTGCATTATATGCCAGACATTAAAATGATAACTTTAAAATTAAGGAAAAAATTAGATTTCTGCTGGTACCTAAGGGCTGTTTATTTAAAAGAAATGTCATAGCTTATGAACTTATGAAGCTTATAGCTTCATAATTATGTATATAGTATAAATAGCTTATGAAAATTTTGATTATTGGATAACATGAAGAGTTCGTCACATTTGTCTTCCGTTATATCTCCAGGCACATCATGGAATTCTGTTTCATCTTCACATCACTATTACTCTGAACCGTAGATAAATAATCATCTTAGGTTCCGTCTAGATTATTACAAATAATAACTTTTTTAAATGGCTTTTAAATTACATAGTTTTATTTCATTATCCACTCACTCGCTATTTCTAGACTGGCATGATGCATTATTTGTCTCCTTTTGTAAATGTTTTTTCACCTTCTAATGTCCACGTATTTCACTGTCTTTTAAAATTTTCTTTGAATGTTTTATTGATACACACATCTAAAGGCTGAAATAACAGCCAGGTCTGTATTACACTCTTTCAGCAATTTCCTTGCATTTATCTGTTAGATGGGATTTGAACATCTCGCAAACTAAAAGACTATCTGGATTTTTTAAGGCAACAGGGCATTTATGCCAAACATGTCTTACCCACAATTTTCATTCATCCATCATTTCTCGTCAACATGAATGAAAAAACACCATTTCAGAAATTACATTTTGGCACAGTGTCTTTTTTAAAAATAACCATGGGTTCTAATCTTTGTACCGTCTGCTAAGTGGGGAAAGCACTACGGTGAGATGAAATTTTTCCTCGACTGTTATTTTATGTAAACCACTTTTGTGTCTTTCACATCAGTCACACACATACTGTTCCCCTTATTCCTTTTCAGTTCAGTGTACCATTGCTCGAAAGCCTGAGAAAAATCTTCAAATGAATGACTTGAAAAAAATGGTGCACGTTATACCCCAGAATATATAAGTTTAAGTAACATTGCTGTTTTCCTGAGGACTTCTGTTAATACTGCAGTATTAGAGAAAATGCTGGAAATATTGTGTTCCATATATTATGCAAATAAAGGAGGGCTGGAACATTTTACTGTTTAGACCACATCTAATAATGTAATCTGGTGGTGTAATCTCTTTTATAATATGATGTAAGTAATCTATTAAACATGCTAATGTACTTGGTCTGTGCATGTCATGCAAGTCAATAGAATTTAAGTAATCTGTGAAGGTCTTTCATCTGCACTCATTTTTGGATGTATACTAACAAAATTTAGATTTTTTTTTTTAGGAAATCTACATGCCAAATTTAGCACTAATTTTTTCTTATATAAAGAAATGAAGTTTTAACAAAATGCACAATATTTTTAATATAATTTTATTGAAGAAGAATGTATTGAAGTTATTTAGCATTTTATGTATACCCATCAGTATGTTAAAAGCTTTAGAAATTTTGTTGTAAATTGAGTAAAAGTTAAAGTTGAAAATTTTTCGTTTTAGAGAAATCTTTACTTTTAAATATATATTCCTTTGCTTTTAAAATGAATTTTGAGTTCATATGTTCAACTCGTGTGAACAATGTTTATACAAAGCTTTTCTGACATTGAGTTTTAAAATTGCACTCGTGTTTTATGCAACAACGGAAATCCTGGCTACTAGATCCATATAAGTTTCAACTAGGCACTTCAACTTTGAAAGCAAGGAGAGATGAAAAATATAGAAATGCCTTCCCCGGGACTCATGGACCTCTCGAATTTTTTGCTCCGAGCGTGCTGACCACTACACCACGAAGGCTTGCTAAAAAGGCAGGAGAAATACCTTATATACTTCCCCTTTTCAAAGGGCAACTATGGATTAGGAAAGCCAATCACCAAATCATGGTGATGGAGAATCATCATCTGCCCTTTTTTTAGTTTAGATGCCACTGTAGAGACATTAGGTATTTTTTGAAAGCAGGAGAGATGAAAATGAGCAATGCCCTCGCCAGGACTCGAACCATGACCGGAACCACCAACAAATGCACGCCGAGTGTGCTGACCACTACACCACGAAGGCATGATACTCTCCCTTTTAAAGGGCGACTGGGATTTGTGAAACTTACCTCGTTATCTCCAGCAAATCGGAATCTTCTGTCAAACACATGCAGAAGAGTACATCTATTGACCATTATCCTCTCAATACCATCTAATAAGCAATGTTTTAATATTAATTTTCCCCTATGCTGGTGGGAATACTTTGTGTTCCTGGCCTCCAACAGTAAATGCATATAAAATCAGATGTTTAACTTTACTTGACTCTTATCTAAAGAGAACACAGATCCATTGCTATAAGATTCCAGTTTTGTTGTTATCTGTATCAATCCAGGCATGTCTTCTGTTTTAAGGGTTGTGAAACATAAACCATTGGCTTTCTGATGAAAAACTCTGCATTAAACTATCTGAAAATTTGCCATGATATAAAAACCCCAATGACGGCTGTGTATTAAGCTGCTTGGCAGACAGCTTGCTGTGTGCATATTTATGGACAGAAGCAATGAGGGTTGATAGGCAGGTATTCTTTTATCATATGACCTTGTCCTGACTTTCTAGAAACAGTTTCAATGCCTAAATTGTTTCCAGAAAGCAGAAGCTGTATGTCTGGAATTCAGCCATCTTCTTACTTCCATAATTAGCATCCGTGTTTCTAAATGATCTAGAGCTCTTCACCTAAAAAATTCTTCCAAATTTTACTTTACTGCCATAAAAAGACTGTTTTAATAAGCATAGAAATCAAATCTGAATTTGCAATATGGGACATGATTCCAGACTATTTTGCAGTGGGTTGACATTGCCATTATTCCGCATTTTCTGTTCCTTGACTGCTGGTGGCCAATAACTCTGTTTAATATTTTTGGGAGCACTAATAGAATATATATATAGTACCATGTTGTATTTATGCTTTTCTGTGCTGTCTTAATTAGTGTGGAAAATATGTTTATTTCAGAACCATCACTCGAAACCAGTATATCTTCCTTGTGAAGTATGAGCTGAGTTATTTATTTTTCAAGTAAGTATCCAGGAATATTATATAGTGTCGAAGGAAATTTTCATTTTATGCAAATTTGTATATTATGCTTAAAATATAGCTTTCTGTGTTCTGTAATTTAATGTTAAAGAAAGATTAAATGAGTGATTTCTATTTTCATTGCAGCCTACAAAAATGCCCTGTGGTGGTGCATAAAATAGTTCTGTGAATGTTAATGTTATTGGATACTGTACAATACAAGATGATAATTGTTGACAACATTCCATATTCTATTCCATTATGAGTGAAATATTTATTTATTTATGTCATAAACATTTCTATATATTGCAATGTTTTAAATTATCCATAAAGAAAGATTTGCTAGTATGTGCAATGATTTTTTATATGAAAATCTGTAAATACGAAATAGTTTTATTTGTTAATATATGAAATGTCATGGAAAATTTAACTTGTTTATAACACTTTTAAGTAAAGTGACATACTGTGATGTCATATAAATTGTTGCATTTATGTGTGTGAAAACTAATGGGGATAATGTGTCCATAATCATTGTGCTGTTAAATAATTTGTAACTTAAAAGTGAATCACTTTTTTGTTTGTTTATCAGATTCTTGATGTTTATATTGATTTGAAGTATAATTCTTTTCAATGCATTGTAAATCTTGTAAATCATTCAGACTTATACCATAAATTATTAATCTGACATTTTCCTGAAATGGTGAAAAGATAAACTGGTTTTAGAAGACCTTTTTTAACAAGAAAACATTATGACCTGTGATTTTTTAAATTTTGTGTTCTTGTTAATTTTGTAATTTGTTGGCTATAGAGAGCTGCAGCTTGTTCCAAACCATTTTTTTATTATTATTTTAAAGTGCTTTGTTTTATGGCTATTTGTTTTATGACTATTGTTATTTGTTAATCAAAATGCTGACTTGGAGCATTTACTGCTATTAAATATCTGTAAATTTTATTTAAAATTTTGCATTTGTTAAATACGTATAATTTGTTTCCAGACAATATGATCATGTAAGTGATTTTTGGAAAATTAATTATAAATGATATTTTACTTCTCAGCTGCATCATTATTTAATATTTATATTTTTAAAAATGTTGTTTTTAACATCAGCTTATTGTTTGTGTATTTTTGTGACAGAGGTAGTTTATAAACATTAAAAAAAAAAAATAAATTCCAACATACTTGTACACTTTTAGCACATTTCAGTTTTGATACAGATATTTTTAGTTCTCTGTTGGTTACTGCAGTGTGCCACAGTATTTAAATGATAACTATTAATAAATAAAATTGTGCAATTATTTTTCAGGATTGGTATTATAGGATTTTATTTATTTTTACTAATAGTTATTTTAGAGCCTTTCCTGAATTCTCTTATACCTCTTGCATTTCCTCGCCAGGATGTAAATGAATCAGGGTGAATGAGAGTATTTAGACTGTTGGTGCGAAAAGGTTAGGCAGAGCATAATTTTGCTATTATGACGCACGTTTCTAGTTTCTTCCAGCTGTTAAACTTAATAGCAGCTATGCCTTCTTGCCGCCAAATTATTATCCAGCCTTTGTAGATTTCAGAGTCAACCTGTTAGCTGAAACTGAGTTGTGTAGTCGCACTACTCTTCACCTTTAAATTTAGTGTTGCATTATCTTTTAAGTTCTCACTGCAAGGGGTTTGTAAGCATGCTCTTTGTTAAATATTCTGTTTTCAATAAAAGGTCTTTTACACCCTTCCCATGTAATTCCCCCATGTGTAACATAAATACAAGCCAGCTTCACTTAAAAAGCCCTCCACAAAGCCATCCCTACCTGTAGGCAGATAGCTCTCACGTGCTTTGCCATAGTCAAATAAACCAAACCAACCCATTGAAAGCATTCCATAAAGATATGCCTCATGTTAGGCTGATAGGCTTCATGTGCCTTGCATTTAACCAAAACACCCATTCCTCCTTAAAGGAAGACAGCATATCAAAAATGTATTACACCATAACCAAAATTAAGTTTTAAATTAAATAATCCTTCCCAGTCATTATCAGTTAATTCTGTATCCCTGAAATATGCATAATAAAACTTTATTCTGGCATTATTAAGTAATATCTAGAGCAGTATATGCCAAAACTTCCATTGTGAGTTACCAGTAGGTTGCTGCAGAATATAGTACAAAGTCCGTAATCTGGACTCTTCGGGACTTCGGATTAGGGGTTTTTCCGAATTATAGATCATCAATTTAAATCTGGTAAGATGTCATGCAGAAATTATACAATGAAAGATATGAATCCATAATTTATGAAATAAAGAGCAATTATGATCTAAAGCATATCAAAATTTACAGAAAAAAAAAGCTTAATATTTGTTTGTTTACTTTATTAAACATTTCTTTCAATGTAAGTTGTTTAAGTTGCTTCGTTTTTTGTGCTAATACTTTCTCTTTAATTCTATAAACAGACGTAATTTCTTGTTCAGTTACAAAGTTCCACTGTTCAAGTCCTGTAAGTGCTATGTCGAGAATACCGAGCTAACTTGTCAATTGAAATTTTTTTGTTTTCAATAACTCTCTGTCACTTTCTTCACTATCGGAAGTCGTATTTTCTGGATCTAGGACCATACTACAGATTTCGCCATCTGTTGATTGATGATTGGGGAATTGTCGTCGAAATGAAAACCTTCTGTTATATCATTTTCATTTATTACCGCTTCTCCATATTTCTTTACAAAATCCAATAACTGGAAAATTTCACCTTTAGTTTGCGATGTCCGAAAACCTTCAAATTCGCAGCTATCATCTTTATCGTCCTCATCATGAAATATGGTAGCTGGCCATAAATTATGCCAAGCAATTTTTAACTTATATGGAGACGCATCCTCCCATGATCTTGCGATGCTCCACATAGCAGATTTTATGCTAAAAAATTTCCAAAAGTCTTGAATAGTCTTGCTGTTGTTTTAAGAAATTTAACATGGATTTTATAAATGCTACTTTATATTTGCATTTGAGCGTGTGCATTATTCCCATATCCACAGGCTGAATGATAGACATAGAATTTGGAGGGAAGAATAATACGGATTCATTATCTTTCACTAAAACTAAGTGAAGTATGCACCGAACAGTTGTCAACAATCAGGACTATTTTTGAGTCATCAGGTAAACCAACCGAATTCAAATGTTGTCGAGCCTCGGGTATAAAATGATTTTCAAACCAATCATTCATCAATGCTTGTGTCATCCATGCTCTTTTATTTGCACGATATACGAGGGCTATCCAGAAAGTAGATTACGTTTTGGAAAAAAAAATAAACAAAGTATAGGAAACAAATTTTATTATATACAGATGAAAGCCACACTCAAATACTACTTTTCTACATAGTCACCATACAAATTAAGGCATTTATCGTAGCGATGTACGAGCTTGGAAATTCCTTCGTCGAAAAATTCGGCCGCCTGCGCCTTCAACCACTTCGTTACCTCTTCTTGCCTTCCATCTTGCACAAAACTTGTGGTAACCAAGCTTTTCGCTGATGATTTCGTGCAACAAACTTCGCGAAATTTGTGGAAAACTCAAGAGAAGTTCCGTTATTGTGAAATTTCGATTTTCACGGACTTTAGCATCGACTTTTTCGAGAAGTTCGGCGGTCACTATGCTGGGTCTCCACTTCGATCTTCGTCGTGAACATTGGTTCGGCCATTTTGAAATCTTATGACCCACTGACGCACTCCACCTTCAGTGATAATGTTGTCCCCATACACTTCACGAAGCTGCCGATAGATTTCTATCGGTTTTACAGTTTTTTTGCAGTCAGAAACCTTATTACTGAGCGCACCTCCCAGCTCGCGGGATTTTCAATTAACGCAGACATTTCAAACCGTCACAGTATCTGAACGGAGCACAGCACGAACCTCTCACTAGCACGGCTAGATGCAGACTGAGCTGCGCAACGCTCTGACCCCAAGATGGTCGCGCTAGCCCCGCCCCTAGCGGACACAGACGGAAACGTAATCTACTTCCTGGATGGCCCTCGTATAACAGGGAAAATCATTACTCCGTTAAATGCTCGAGGTTGTGCATATTTTCCGATTACGAAAAGTTTGCACATGTGTGTTCCTGCAGCATTTGTGCACACTAAAATTGTTATTCTGGCTTTCGAATCTTTGACACCAGTTGGAGCCTTTACTGTAGAGGTTGCCAAGGTAATTCATGGTACATATTGCCAGAAAAGGCCAGTTTCATCAGCGTTGTAAATTTGTTCTGGAGATAATTGTTCACTAGTAATGAGTTCAATGAATTCATCTGCAAATTGTTCAGCAGCTTCAGTATTAGCTGAATCTTTTCCAACTGAAATTGTTGTCTTATACCATGGTGATTTTTAAATTTGGTAAACCAACCTGTTGAATATGTGCACTCAGTGTTTAAGTTCATTTCTTCATGAATTGTTTTGGCTTGAGCCATTAACATTGGATTCATCAATGGCACCACTCACTGCGATGCTCACTGCGATACTTGACCCATTCAATCATCACTTTGTCATGATCGTCACTTTTAGCATAATGAACCCTTTTCCTATTATCCAGTTTGATGGACATCGAAACGTGCTTTCGCTTTGTTGATCCTTTAGGAGCTCCAGAATTGGAAACTCTTTTTGACATATTCAAAAGTTCAAGCATAATTTTTATAAAATTGCTCTAACAGTCTGCAAAAAATAATAAGCTGGATCCAATTAGAAGATTAAGGAACAATGCAATCTGCAACATTAACTGAAATGCCTTAGAATCAGTGCAGATAATTTTAGCCTAGCTTATACCATCTGTTATACATTAAATGCACATGCGTAAAGCATACAAAAAAAGTTTGTGGCTTTGAGGTCTGGATTATAGATCATTCCGACTTATGGTCATCCAGATTACGGACTTTGTACTGCATTTCATAGCTCGCATAAGAATATATTTTTTTTAAAGCTGATATTAAAACTCGATATATTAAATACACTGTTATATGAGAAATCATATTCATGAGTCGAGCCATGAAATATGATTGATAATTATCATGAATAATGGTATGTAAAAAAATTTTCTTAAAACAAATATTCAGCTATATCATGGGAAATTAATCAGAAACAGAAATTCATAGCAACTTGTCTCTAGGAATATTGTTTAAACTATTGAAAATGTTTGAACTCTTGCCTGAATAGGTTGTGTTTTTGACATTTCCAAAGTATTCATTATTATAACATAATGTTTAGAATGTTAATAAGCGAGTTAAGCGAGCATTTAATTTTACTGGAAATCTGGTTTTTTATCTATGCATTATGGATATGTGCTTATTGTAAACCTAATTAATGTGTAAAATCATCAAAATGTGTTAAATAGCAAATGCACAAATCAAATAACTTGAAATTTTAAAGTATCACACATGTATATTGAATTTAATAATAATAATACAATGGGACCTCGAGATACGAGTTTAATTCATTCCAGCATTGAGCTCGTATAGCGAATTTCTCATATCTAGAACCAAACTTCCCCATTGAAAATAATGAATATCTAGTTAATCCATTCTGCACCCTCAAAAATATCATTACCATCTCATCTTCAGTCGATGCGCCTGGTGTTTTTCGGAGAACGTCCAAGTACAGATTCTTAGCCTTAGCGCAAATGATAGTTTCCAACACCAAATCGCCTTTTAATTGCTTCTCGTTAATCCACACAAACAGCAGCTTCTCAACATCTAGGAGTTTTGGACAGTGCTTGGAAATAACGGTAACCCCTTTGGCCAGATCAAGTTTCTTAATTTTTTCCTTCTTCAGAATAGTGGAGATTGCAGCACTATCTAAGGCAACAGTCTTCTTGGGAGCCATTGTGAAATAATTATTTTCATGTTAAATGTAAAAATAATTCACAAGTGTACAGTCATGTACATCAAAGAACACTGAGTGATTTGATGAGGGTATTCCTCGTGTCGAGCCGGACTGAGAAACACCACATATACCAACAGCCTGGCTTGTTGCTCGTTACTCGAATCAGTGCTCTGCTCGTATTTAGAGACAAATTTTTCATTCATACATTCCTTGTATCTCGAATTTCTCATATATAGAGGTTCGAGATTCCACTGTAACAGCATTAATATATAAGGCACCCCTGATCAGTATGGTGGTTAGTGCTGTTGACCATTATATTTTTGGGTCCCAGAGAAGGCTTGAATGTTTTTGTATAGGTTCTGTATAGCATGGGGCATTTAAAATACTGGTGAATTGAAAGTCTTCTCAAGAGGCTTGGTGGCAGATTGTCATATCCATTCCCCGATTGCATCAAAAT